CTTTCATCTTTATAAATATTTATAAATTTCAATTCAGGTACGTCATTTGAACACGTTCCTATGTTATTCCACGAGTCGATAGAAACCTTTCGATTTAGTTTGTATTGTGAAATTTAGAAATACTTCATAAAACAAAATGAAATGAAATGTATGGGTTTGTTGTGTTGATCGTACTACTGTAGGTCATTTATTAATTGGTTAAACCAAAGAAAAATGACCTCATATAAGTTCACAAGTAAATCGTCAACAAGTATGCATTGTTACCGGGCATCATATGTACTTATCTCGTGAACCACAATTATAAAGATTATTGAAATACTGAATAATGCGAACGCAACTAAATCATATACTAGTACTAATAAAAAGATAATAATTTGAATACATAGAATTTAATGATTTATATGTAATATAGTATGTAAATATGATCGGCTATAAGTTTGTTTGGTTGAGACACACATCTGTCGCGATGGCTTATTTTTTCTTTGTTATGTTATCACTTACCGACGAGGAATCATTTGTCGCTGGCGTGGCTCTTGTGGTTTACTGATAATGGGATTGATACCACTTGTATGCGACATATCAGTCTGTGATCACAACACTATGGCAACATTGTTGAAATTTGGCGTATGACAGGCGCACCCAGTCAGATAACTGCTTAATACAATTATCATACTATAAAGTCACCGTCATGGCTGAACGTCGCAAACTGCTGGGACATATACTGTTGTATATTTCACTATGTAGAGCGGTATTTGGAATCACTACACGCACGCCGATAACGTTGATAAATAATGGATACACTGGTTTGTTGATAGCCATCCACGAACAGGTACCGGAAAATTTAGAAATTCTAAACCGGCTTCAAGTAAGTACGCAATTTTGATATCCTATTGTCAGTAGGTGGAAAACACTAGTCACTGTCGTTTACCGAGTATAACAAAATCGGAAAGTTACAATAATCCGGAACGAATCATTGTTTGTAGATCAGTGATCGAGACAATACGTACTCAACACACGAGTCAACCGATAATATATATCACCAAGGAATGTTCAATTGATTCGAAAGATGCCTTACATGTGTTTTGTTGTGAGTAAATATTAACGACTATTTTCATCCTGTCGTAAATGCCACATTCAATCTGAGTAATACACAAGTAGTTCCTGTTGGATTGCTGTAGTATGGATATGACTCTAATTGTCCAGGAACTCACGCCATATATAGCAAGATATCGTTTTTAATGTTTGTCCGATTTAATATTCAATTTGTTCAGAAACATAGGCCATACATATATCAAGCAATCATTTTGACTAATAAGCCTACGCAATAGAACGCGTCCTCATAGTGACTAGATGGACATACGTGAGCCGAATCTGCAAAGTCACAGTAAACGACAACATAACACCAGGTATTCATATGACCTATTCACAAAAAGTATGGATTGCGCAATATACTTTAGCTTCTTGTCTATATATATATATATATATAAATATATGTGAGTTCTTTTTATTTAGATAATGTCATTTTTTTGGTCAGAGTGCCCTCTAGTATTTGTGGGAAATCATGTTTATTTGGAATGCTCTGATTGGATGGAAGTTCGAGCCTAGCAAGGTGCGATAGAATTGGCCTGTTATGTTCAAATAAGTTCAAATATGTTCAGATTCAAATAAGCATGAACCACTAATTTGACAGGGAAGTGATACTTATAATGCAGCAAGCTGTTTTAATTGCTGTTGTGGTAGAATTTTTATATTTTCCTGTCAAATGCATTTATTGGTCAA